AAAATTATTAATTAAAAAGTTATAATAATAATAAAAAAAATTGTTTTATAAATATAAAAAAAAAAAATTTATGAAAATCGAATCTAAATATATTTATACCAATGGCAAAAATGCTTTTAAATGTCATTTATTTTTACATGTATATATTTTATTTTTATTAAGTATATATAATTATAGCTTACGAAGAGTTGAATAACTTTGTCATCCAAAAGAGATTCCTCATATCCATACCCACACCCATAGATCACTTTATTTAATATAGCGCATTCAGAAGTCGCTATGACTTAATCATGCAATTAAATASTGTCTCCGCTTATATTTGGTATTTTTTGTATTTCTGAGGAACGTGATTCGAGTCCCAAATGAAAATTCTCTATAATCTATCAACACACACACATACATACATACATATAGAAAGATGCTTATATATAGTCTTAAATGACCAGTGGCTGATCGTGAACAGCGCGAAAATAAAATGAAACAACTCTTGAAATTTTATCAACTCGTTGTTGTTGTTATTGCAGCAAGTGAATAATTATTTTATCGCCAAGCCGGGCTAGTTGCCGGCCTTGTCAAGAGTCGCTGAGCTTGGAGAGCTGGAACGGCCGGCGCATTCGCACAGTTCCAAGTTGACAATCGAGCGAAACGCAATGCGAAAGTTGGCGAAGCGGAACATTTTGTGGCTGCTGTTGCTGCTGCACTCAGTTGCAGCTGCTTTGACCTTGGGCGAGGCGGACTTGGAGTCGGAGTCGGAGTCGGTTCCACATCGTCGCGTGAAGCGCATTGTGGGTGGCAAGAGTGCCAAAGCGCCGCCCGTCGATGATCCGGTTGTGTTTGCCCGGCTCTACAATCGCGACACTCGCATCGAGGGCTTCCGGAACACCCGAACGGGCATCTACAGCTTCCTGGGCCTGCACTATGCGGAGCCGCCGGTGGGGCAGCTGCGCTACTCGCGGCCCGTCTACAAGCGGCTCAGCGGGGATATCAATGCCACCAGGCATGGCCCGCCGTGCATCCAGCCGCATCCGCAGCAGCCGCAGCGCATCGTCGGCGAGGAGGATTGCCTGCTGTTGAATGTGTATACGCCGCAGATGCCGGACGAGACGACGGGCTTGCCGGTGTTTGTCTGGATACATCCAGGTGGCTTCCGCTTTGGCTCGGCGGCTCAGTACGACGCCACGCCCATGGCCCAGCAGGGGGCGATTGTGGTGGCGCCGCAATACCGCCTCGGCTCGCTGGGCATCCTGGGCGACGGCACCAAGGAGTTCGACGGCAACCTGGCCATGTTCGATCTGGCCACAGCGCTGCGCTGGGTCAGCGAGTATATCTCCCAGTTCGGCGGCGATCCCAAGCGGGTGCAGGCGATTGGCCACGGCTCAGGTGCCGCCAGCGCCATGTACCTGTCCATGTCGCGCACGGCCCGCAGCGCCGGCGACATCCACGGCGTGGTGGCCATGTCGGGCACTGCGCTCTCTCAATACGCCATGGACAAGGAGCCGGTGCAGAGTGTCGAGGAGGTGGCCAAGATTAACAACTGTCCCACAGGCAATGAGCTGGAAATTGTCAAGTGCATGCGAGCGGTGAGTATTGTAGAGAGATGAGAGATAGAGAGAACATAGGAGAGAGAGAGAGAGAGAGAGGGACAGAGATAAGGTAGTAGAAGGAGGGAGGGAGAGGAGAGAGAGTGGGAGTGAAACAAGGAGGAAGATGAATTAATATTTGACTTTAGCTAGCAGCTCACATTAAAATCTTTTAACAGTTGGTTTCCTGCAAATCTGAGCGGAAATGTTAGGTATTTGGCTTACAGCAGCAGTTTACATTGACTTAACATAACAGACAAATTGTATGCTGCAGACTGTTACATAAATAAGAATGTAAAGTAAATGTATATATGAAATTAACATTGATATAACAGTTCATATTCCCTAAGAAACTTGGGCTTTTAGTTTTATTTCACTCACGATATTCAGAAACTTTTCAAATGACTCTCGCACATGGCTGTACATACCATTAGATAATCAATCGAATTACTGTCTTGCAGCTAGATGCAGTTATATATGAAGATTATTCATAAGTTTATTAGAAAACGAGTTTTTTTAACATTTTTACTTTAATGTTCCCGACTTATGCAAGTGATGCGATATTTATCATCACGATTTACGACATCAGTCAAGCTACTCATCAGCCAGTAGCTAATAGATAATAATTTATATGCCAAGAGTGAGAGTAATTCAATGAGAGTAAGTAAATGTTATTGATATGCTTTGTCTAACTCGATAACAGTTGGCGTTGTCTGTTAAGCACTTAACAGATACTTAACATAGGTTGGAATCAATTAAATATTATTTAAATAAATTATAATATTTAGGAATTTCGATTCATCTTTGATCTGATCGAAATCGAAAAAAATAACCATTTTTGTATTATAGCTTAAATAGAGCTAGAAACTCTTCAAACTTATAGGGAATATATATCAAAATCTATATTCCTCCTTCCTTCCCTCAACTTTAATTAACACTTAGCTTAAACCAATCTCTACCAATATAGTTTTCAAACTTCGATCTTATTAAGTGGCCTTTCATTCCTCTCCGCTTTTAGAAATCCGCCGTGGATATCATCAAGAACGATGACAAAATACAAACAGAGCGCCTGGCTGGACGTGCTCTGGTCAAGGGTCTCACAGGCAACGCTGGCTTCCAGCCGCACATGGAGGCCGAGGAGGACTATCGCTCGCTGCCCAGCATCATAATAGGCGAGCCGGAGGCGCAGCTGCGCAGCGGCAATTATACGGGCATTCCCCTGCTGACCGGCGTGACCAAGCACGAGACGGCCAACTCGGTGTCTGTGGATACGCTGAACAAGGTTTACGGCTCGGCCGAGAAGTTCTTGGGCTCGCTGCAAGGCGCACTGGAGCAGCTGACGGGCTTCCTGCGCATCGACGAGCTGACTGGAGGCATAGCGAAGCCCGTGCTGCCCGGATTGACCAACGCGCTGACGCCCACGCTGCAGGATGTGTGGAAGGTGCCGCAGGCATTGAACGTGGATCAAGTGCTGGCCAAGGTGGTGGAGTCCACCACCGACGTGCTCTTCAACCTGCCCGCCGTGCTCACCACGCAGGTGTGGTCCAAGCTGGCGCCCGCCTACATGTACAGCTTCGAGTACAACGGCACCAAGTCGAAGGGCATCCACTTCCTGCACGGCCTGCCCATCGTGGCCGAGCAGGCCCAGAGCAGGCCGGAGCTGGTGGCTCACGGCGACGAGCTGGGCTACATGTTCGATGCGAACGACATCTTCGGCGAGCCGCTGCTGGAGACGTGGCTCACCGACGAGCAGGATCTGAAGGTGCGCCAGAACTTGATTGATATGCTGCTGCAGTTCGCCCAGCCGAAGGACGAGCAGAGGGAGGGAGTCACGGCGAAGCTCTTCCAGAGCATCTCGAGCAAGGGCACGCCTTTCATCAAGGTCGACACTCAGCTGGAGGCAGCCAGTGATTTTCGCTTCTGCGAGCTCTCCGTCCTGGGCGCATCCCTCTCTCCGCTCAGCTCCACCAGCTGCGCCGCCCTCGGCAGCGTCCTGGGCCAGCTGGGCGGCGGCCTGGGCCAGACGGTGGGCGGCGTTGGCAAGACTGTGGGCGGCATTGGCAACACCCTGGGTCTGGGCGGCGTTGGCCTCACCGGCAGCCAAAACAATGGSAAGAAACGCGGCGGCGGCGGCTTGGGTCTGGGTTTGCTCTAAGTTCTCATTGCCATATTGAATAAAGCCTGGTTGGTATTGATATAAGCTGCTGCTGCTGCTGCTTCTGCTGCTCCTGCTGCCGCTGGTTGCCATGAACCGGCGCTCAATTAGCACAGCTCGCATAGCTCTAGCGCTAATCTCTCTATTGACTTTGTGCCTCTCTGAGCGCCACCGATAAGCAAATTTCCGGCCAGCCGAGGCGCAAAATTTAAACAAAAAGCAAAGTTTTCTGAAACTTGTGGGCAGATCCGCATCCGGAGTGGCATGAGCTGGCTGAGGGGGCGAAGGGCGGAGGGCGGAGTCAGAGCAAACAATGAGCATAAGCTGGCAGTGAAAGTTTGAAGAGGATGAGCAGCTGCTGCCGATGCTGCTCCTGCTGCTCCTGCTGCTCCTCCTGCTCGTTGCCTTGACGTCTTTTGTGAACTATGGCCAAAAAGCTGAGCGCAAAGCCGGCTTACCTACGGAGCAGACTCATTGTAGCTGTTCTTTCATGTGCCTCTTATTAATATTATTAAAACTAATTTCATAAATTGAAACTGCCCGACATGCCATCCCATACCATTTTCGTTCTCAGTGTGGGCGTGGCCGGAGGCGTTAATGCCTAGGTTCGTCGAGCTTAAGCGCTGACAAACGCCGAGGGGCCGCCTGAAATGAAACTGGGATTGGGATTTGCTATTATAACGGGGCATAATAGATGTGTGCATGAGCAAGGGACAAGGGGCAATGGGCAAGGGGCAAGAGGCCAGGGGGCAGGCAAACAGTCACGCGAGGGTATTTAAAGAGCACCTCGACGAGTTCAATTACAGGCATTTCTTTTAGTAGCTATAAATATTTCCTAGAATTCAGTTGAGGTTCAGCTTTGAGCAGCAGCTTAAGCAGCTCTGGAAGTACTTGCTATACAACAGTGACATGTGTTGCTTCCATTGTTGGCCAGGCCACATTAGATATACTAGACGAAGTTTGAGACACATTGCAGATATTTGAGGAGCATATGAAAAGAAAGAAAAGTCTTGTTGAAATCTATTCAATTTCTCACTTTAAAAAACAAGTTTACCCTGTTTTTGTTGTGCCATGGATTCATCTACTAACAAATATGAGAATTTAAGTAGGAATCAGTCCAATGTTACTTAAAGACTGAAGGGAAAGAGATATGAATGAGAAAGAGATATACATGATTTCGAGGATAAGAGGTTAGGATGCGATGGAAGTGGTGGAGGACTGTGATTACTATTATTTGCCAGCCCCTCAATTTATAGACTTGCTAGATCAGATGCTTGCATGCATAGATATTATATAGACACATTTTTCAAAACACAGATTTAATATTAGGAAAAAAGTCATCAATAGAAATACATCTCCCTCACATGGAGCAGCTCCTCCACTTATATTTGACAGACAAATAACAAATGAACTTTTATAAAATGACAGTCCACTTTCAATTCATTAAAATTCAGGCAATTTTTCAGTAATAAAACTCCAGCACTAAAGATTTACTCATGCTCATCCCAAGCATTTCAATTAGAAAACTTTCTTTGATAATGCTGCATATATAAATCGTTATCAGAGTTGCGTTTGGTGGCTGCGACATCTGCGACAATTATTAATGGGCCGTTAGCAGGGATTAAAACAAAAAACTTTACAATTAATTAGTGTCCAGATGACAAATGATAATTATAATTGTAGTAGTTCTCTAAGATAGAGAGCGAGAAAGGGAGAGAGAGAGGCTGCTGGCATAACTGCCTGAGCACTTTTAATGATGGTCATAAAAATGCAGAGCGAAAAGTTTGAGCAGCGCCACAGAACGAGGCATAATAAATGATCAAGCAGACAATGATGGGGCGTAATCAAAGCAAGCTGTTGGCCACTCCCCCAAGCTCGGAATAGAACAGAACTACTCAGGGCACATGGATAATCGGCTCATTCGGTTCATTATGAAGCTGTTTACCTGGACGTAAATCACGTGGCCGTTTTATGGCCAAAGTGTCGCCCAATTTCCAATGCAATTTACCTTTTGGCGCCCACGGAAAGTTTCTGCTTAGTTTTCTGAATGGATCTGGCGTATTCGGGGTAGCTTACGCAATTTTTCTTCATTAATGTGTAGTTACGCAATTTGCGCAAAAACTTTTCGAACGTTGCGTTAATTTTGGCCAATTCACTAGTAGTCGAGCGGCTGATGAACCCCAGTTACCAAATACTCGTGGTCCCCTTCACTATATCCCATATCCGGCCTCCTGCTCGTCCTCCTGCTCCTGCTGCTGTTGCTGCTGCTGCTGCTGCTGCTGCTCCTCTACTTTGTTGTTATGTCGTTTTGTGGTTGCGGCTCGGCCTATTTCGAGTCTTTTGCCAAATTAGTTCCGCCCCTCGATTTATATTGTCATTTCGTGCGTTTCGATTGTGTAAAGCAATTTCATACTGGCATAGACTGCCGCCTCCTGCTCCTGCTCCTGCTCCTGCTTTATGCTTGCCGCCTCCTGCCTGCTGCCTGTAGTCAGCTTTTGCCTATTTGATTCGACTAGGAAACCCCCAACTCCCCATAGCTCCTCCTCCTCCTCCCCTTGCCTTGCTCTACTGTCATTTCATCAATTCTGGAGCAGAAGTTACGGCATTGCGGCGTGTTTTAGTCTACGAGTCGATGTGTTTACCCATATGGAATTCGAGTACTCACACACACACACACGGGTTCTCACTCTCTCTCTCTCTCTCTCTCTCTCTCTCTCTCTCTTTCACTGTGTGCAGCTAGGCACATAAATTAGGCTGGTCATTTGATGTTAATAGTTGCAGCAGCTGCTGCTGCTTCTGGCCCTGTTTCGATCCGTGTTGCTGATTTTACATGAACTTGTTTTCATGTACATTCCAAAATTGCCTCATTGTAAGACGAGATATTTCACAGGGTTCAAATGAAATGTTAGTCTTGGCATTAAATTGTCTTTGCACATTTATAAGTGCGATTCGAATTTTCCAAAATTTTCTTAAGCTTCCAATTAAAGTTGTCTTTGACAGATGCTTTAATTTAATAAGTCAATTATGTAAATCCATAACAGCTTTTAACATTAATAAGATAAACTTACGTGTTGGATAGTATAAAAGTTGATTTTATAAAAGGTATATATATAAGACTATATTTATAATTGTTTTTTTTTTTTTTTTTTTTTTAATATATTTTTATTCTACCAATTTAAATTGGAATTGATTTTAATTTGAACAAAAATAAAATTTATTTTTAGGTATATTTAATACTTTATTATTCTCTTTCAAATAAATTGTAAATTCATATCATGAATTCTGTGTACTTGCCTAGTTTTCATTACAATATGAAGCTTCAGACTTTGTCTCTCTATTTATTAATTGCCATAATTGGAGTTCCCAATTTAAAGCGCCTTTTGTAGACAATTGAATGTTGTGCTGGCCGTAACGTAATTAGTTCTATTCAAATTTTCATTATTTTCAATTTTGTGATCAGCATGAGCCATGCAGAGCAGAGCCAACTACTTTTATGCTGTTTATGAACGAAATTTTGAATGAAAGAAATAATCTGCTCAATGCGATGCAGGCCCGAGCCTCGACGCCCAGCTCGCCCAACAATAAAGCCCAGCAACAATTGGTCTAATCCAAATAATGGAATTTGGATGCCATGTGCCGGGCTGTCTATCAGTGGCATGCATATGCAATGGATAGGCCAGCCAGCCAGGCAGTCAGCTGGGAGGGTGTGTGCATGAGGGCAGGAGCAGGAGCAGGAGCAGGAGCAGGAGGCGGCCATCATGCTGCTGTCAGGCTCAATTTTGGGTAAAGCCACTTGGCCATTGTTCGAGTTTTGACATAAGCAAAAATCTGCTTTTGTATGGCCTCAATCTAAAGGCTGAACAAGCGTGTGTGCGTGTGTGTGTGTGTGTGTGTGTGTGCGCGTGTGTGTGTGAGTGTGGGACAGGTCTCTTTTCTAATATGAAGTCCCGTTGGATTATGTCTTTGTTGTTGGCCTGCACTTGGCTACGCTTTGACAGCGTCAATTGCAGCCCCCATTGAGCAGGGGCGTAGCCATTGAAGGGGGCTCGATTGCGCAGTGCTCTTGGGCTATCCGGCTCTAATTAAAATTGATTATTATAATTAGTATTGATTGCAGTGTGGCACGCACACTGACCCACCATGTCATAACTCGAGCCTAAGAACTCAGAACGAAATGTTAACGCTTCTGACCCCACGCTAAAGCTCAATAAATAGTTGATGTCTATTTGTGAGCAACACCTCTGGCTCCAATTGTCGCAGACACTAATTAACCGCACGCAATTGGCCCCGAAATGCCGAGCTTATCGATTCCTCCGCCGAGCCACGCTCCTCCTGGCCAGCGCGCCATCAAGTATGCAATGACTTATTTATGGCGTTGATTGTGTTTGACATCTGCTGGAATTGACACATTTCGCAAAACCAACAGAGCCCAACCGCAAAGGCGGAGAGCACTCTGCTTCTTTTCCATCTCTGTCTTTCTTTCAGTTCCTAAATATTTTATAAATTGTTTTTCTATTCGAATCTCATTTAACTTTTGCTATTTTTGCTGGAAGTAAAAAACTTGTATAAAATTAATTGCTTTAAATTATTTATTTTGTATTTATTATGGATTGATTGGATTTTTAAAGAAAGAGCTTCTTCTATTCTTTCTTTTTTTTATTTTCCTAACTAAAGCTAAACAATTACTTTAGATTTTAGCTGTGTTATTTATTCATAAATCATCTTAGTGATACGGTTAACGCTCGCAGAATAAAGCTCTAACAATGAGGGATCAGTGAAAAAAGTCTTTGCAAACATTCTTCCGACCAAGTTCCCTTGTGGAGCAAAAATAATAGTTTCTTAGGATCTACCTACTTCTCATATCTGTTCGCCTATTACAGAAAATGTATATGTAAAGAAATGTATAATTTAAAAAAAAAAATGTTTTGCTTCATTCAAATTATCATTTCGAATTTATTAAAATTTTCTTAATTACAGTTTTAAAAAAAATAGAGTCTTGGTCTAAACTGAATTCA